TGGGTCTTTCCAGTCATACTTCCTCACCAGTATGAATTTTAGGCACCCCTCCTTACTCCGAGAGAGGCCACTAAAACTGTGAGACACAGGGACAACATCATCACCATTATCATCACCTCTCAAAGACAAACATTTATCCTGAGAATGTGTAGTTCAAAGCTGATGAGAAAACATATTTTTCTCACCAGCCTATGACTTGGCAGGCAGCCCCTCCTCCATGAAGTCAGCAGTGAGGTTGTTTTGCAGAGCAGAGTTTAGATCCTTTCCTTCTTCACCCCACCTCTAAATTACCTTCTTCCAGTACTCTTGGGAACAGGAAAAAAGCCATCATGTCTTAAAAGCTGCTCCTTTAGTTACACAAATGGAAGCTTTGAAATATTTATTTTATTATGGATTCTATTCTTAGCCATAAATCCTTGTTCACCTGTGTTTCTTTCTGGGGTAAATGGAGGAGATGGTTTATTTTCATTACGCCCCGTCTTCTGTTTCTACTCCTGTGTTCTCCACATTGTTTCATTTTCTGTATTCTGGCTCCATATCCGACATTCTCTCCCACACTTCTATAGTCCCAGGAAGACCTCAACTCCCTGCTGTCCTTGACACCTCAGTTTTCCAGGTCAACCTGGAATCTTCCCTTTTGTAATTTTTTTTTTTTTTTTTTGCAGCTTCCTGCAGAACTGTACCATATCATTTACTATCATCTAATATGCTGACTGACTGAATGAATGAATGAAGGAGTAAATCCAATACTGTCAGGCATGCCTTGTTCATTTGGTACTCCTGCAGACAGGCCCTCAGTGCCTATTAGCTGCTGGTTACAGAGACAACATTCACTGAGCTCTTGGAATGAATTAACACCTGCCATTTCTCTCTACATCAGTTCTGACTGATTTCAGCTGTATCCCTTAAACACAACACCAGCTCTAAACATAGAATAAATATCTTTTTAAAGAACCACGAAGTTAAAAAGGCAGTGTGGACTTGGGGAGGGAAAGGGGTCGAGAGGGAGAGGCAGAGATGAGGCTGTCCTACAGAGGTGGGTCACAGGCCAATAGCTTACTCTAGTGGGGAGTAATGTTCAAAGCCTCACTGCCTGCGACTCCCAAGAAGCTTCCAAGAATCCACAAAAGTGAGCAAAAGTACTTTGAAAGGATAAAAATGGATTAACAACAAAAGTGAGGGGTGGTAGAAAGGATTGAGAACAAAAGCAAACCTGAAATCCCATTTCTACAACTGAGGCAACCAGGCCTGGTGGCTTCCCGGAGAGAAATCTCACTGGCCCTGTCCCTTTCACCAAGTAAACGGGTCCTGCAGGCAAGCCTGAGGCAAGGACTTTTGAGCCATTCATCCTCCATCCCAGAGAAGGAGGATTATAAATATCAGGGTGGATTTTGCCTTAGTGACCTCATCATTCAATGTCTCTCTCTCCCCCTCCATTCTACCGATGGGGAGACTGAGGCCCAGAGAATGAATCTAGAATGTGGCACAAGTTGCATAGTGGAACCAGGAACAGAGCTCGGATTTTCTGATGTCCAGCTCACTGGGTTTTCTACTATCCAGTGACAGCAGGATCAATCATAAGCACCAAGAAAGAAAACAAGTTAGTTGATTTTTTTCAGGTGTTAAACCCTCAGAAGTGAAATCTATTTTTCACTGAGTGTCTACTCCAATTCTTAGTGTGTGATGACTTTACCTCTCTTATTTGGGGTAAAAAGGAAGTGGGCTGGGTGGGAGTCCGGGGACCTCAGCCGGAGCTCAGACTCCCACCCCTCCTTTGTAGCAGCTTCAGCTCACGTCAGTCATCCTTTCTGATGTGTGACATCTGACATAGTACAGAGTTTCAGACAAATCCTGTGGAAGTCTTTTCTGTCCAACAGGACTGAGAGCAGAGCCTGAATTCTACTTTTATCCATTTAAGGCACATATTTGTTGAGCTCTCACGGGGAGCCAGTTCCTCAGCTGGTCTCAGATACAGTCAGATACAGTCCCTACTCAGATACAGTCCCTGCCCTCCAGGGGCTCACAGCCTACAGATGGATGACGGAAGACACATGAGGCTTCCTTCCCTGGGAGGCTTAGCGTTCTCTGAGCATGAGTATGAGTGACCCTGGGACAGGAAGTACCTAGGTTCTCAATTAATTCCTGAGAGCAACTTTTCTTATAAGGAATGAGGAAAAAATCAGGAGAGGCAAGGTGTCAGCTAGAATGGTACGAATTCCCCTGGGTCCCCAAAATGAAGGTGATCTGGGGAGACGGTTTGTGCCTTTTCTACAATCCCTAAAATCACATCACAGGGACAATCTGTGGTCCAATTAAGACAAGGATTTTAATTCTGTCCTCAGAAGTCCATGGTCAGGTAAACAAACCCACTGCCACCTGGTTTGGTCCTTCCTCCAGCGTCCTCTGTCACCTGGCTCCAACCAGGAGCTACAGGCAATGCTGGCTGAGTCTCCCATTCTGCCGATGGGGCGATCTTCCTTACTCTCCATTGTGTGGCCAGGTTCAAGGACCACTTTTCTGTCCTCATTGTAATTGGTCTGTTTGCAGCATGGATCCAGCTGACTGTGCCTTCTTTCTTGAAACAGTCCTCACTTTCCTCCTCCTTCAGAGGCCTCCCTTCTTGGTCTTTTTGTTGCCTTCCCCATTGCTGAACCTCTACATGGTGGAGGCACCACAGACTTGCTCCCAGGCCCTCACCTTTTCCCCACCTACACTTTCTGCCTGTGTGATACCCATTCCCACGACTGCAAAGGCCAAATAGATGCTGACAATTCCCTAATTCGAACCTCCATCCTCAGTTCCACTTTGAGCTCCAAACTTATCAATGCATCTTCCAATTCCATAGCTTCCTATGGCTAGCCAATAGACATCACACACTTAACATGTCCAAAATGAACACCCAATTTCCCCATAATACAAACACATGAACACACACACAAACACACACATGCACACACACACACGAACACACACACACACATATCTTTTGCTCGAGCCAAAACAAACTGTTGTCCCTGATTTATCTCAGCCAAAAGATAATCCACCAACCTCACCTGACAGCCTCTCTCCAAAATATATCCCATAATTAGCTCTATACCTCCCTGCAAACAACTTCAGCAGCATGACAAGAGAGATGGTAGTTGATGGATCTCATCCTACGTCTCACATCCATCACCGCTGCACCACTAGAGGGATTTGATTCTCTTTCCTAGTCGTGTAACAAAAATTTTCCAGGGATTGATTCCAAAACGTCCAGTTCAGCTTCCCACACTTGAACCAATCCAGTTCCCACTACAACTACTTGGTTGGTGTATGTGAAGAATAGTTTCCAAAAGGAGGGTAGGGCAGGTCCCAGAAAAGAGGCACTTCTGGGCAGATAAATCCCAACAGGTGTCCACTTCCCTCTGTTAGCTCAGTGACCACCATGTATTCTAGGTCATGAGCAAGCCTATCTGTACCCCGTATCTCACCATATGATGAGTGCTTTCAATCAAGGACCAAGCCTTCAGCTTTTCTACACCTCACTGCCTACTGTTGTGCCTGGCACAAAGAAGTATGTGCTTAACAAAAAAGGTGGATGAATGAATGACAAAGCTAGCAAGTAGAATGAAGATATTGCCAGTAAGGAAGATCACCCAGGGTTAGAAAGATTAGGACATAATTTTTGGAGATTGTAAGAATGAATGCAGGTGCTAAAGAATCAGCAGACATTAGAATTGCAGACGAGAAAGAAGAGGTGATCCCAGACAGAGGGGATTGCCTTAGAAAAAACAAAGTGATAAGCACACACGTGATGTGTTATGGATATGGTAAGCAGCCCAACTTGAATGAAGCAAGGTATGTGAGTCGACAAAGTACTGGAGGCAGGAATGGCTTCATGGGCATGTGTGTGACCAATGCAGATGCTCAGGACCCTGTGCTTAGGAGGCCCTGAGAGTGGGATTGAATGCATATTGTCACCATCTTGAAATCTTAATAACTGCACATTTGAATATCTGATTAGTGAAATCCAGTGGAACAGTGGTGAATGCACCAGAAGCGATCAATGCCTTCTCATAACCTCCCAGCTTCTCTAGGACGGGCTCTTGGTCAACTGTTTCTCTGCTCCTACCCAGCAACTGCTGTTCCCTCCATCTTGGTGGGGAAGGGGACTGGGCAGGGGTTCACGGAGGGTTGAGGTCAAGCACTGAGTTGCAGAGTGGAACCAAGTTTCTTCATGGGGTATCCATGACTGCAAGTCTTAGGGTGGGTCCCCAGGTCCCTGTGAGGTCTATTCTCACCCTGTGAGTATCCTTGTGCTCTCTGAGGGATGCATGACATGAAATAGCAAATAAAAACCCACTATGACAGTTTAAGAGACGATGGAAAAAATAAAAAGCTATTCTTTGGCTTTTTGAGCAATGGGCCTCACATTTTCATCTTGCACTGGGCCCCACAAATGATGCAGCCAGCCCTGAATAAAATGGAAGCTGGACGGGTGGGCTGGAGACAGACCGTCAACAGCTTTGACTGCTACCAAGCTCAGCCTTTACTTTGCAGACCAAGACTGACACACTTTTTCTATGAAGAACCAGGTGGTAATTACTTTAGTCTTTGCAGGCCACATGGTCTCTGTTGCAATGATTCAACTCTGCTGTTATAGTGCAAAAACTGTCAGAGACAATATGTAAACCAAAGGGAGAAGCTGTGTTCTAATAAAACTTTATTTAAAGACAGACAGTGGGCCAGGTTTGGCCTGGTGGCCATAGTTGGCCATCTCCTGCTGTAGACAAAAGAGAGTCATTGAAGGCAACTGAGTAGCAGAAAGGCACAATCAGAGAAGATTTTCTAGAAGGTTAACTTGGCCTCACTGTCCATGGTGGGTGAGGGTCGGTGTAGAGGCAGAGGATTTTAGGAAAGAGAATACTGTGAAGCTCCAAGCTTGAGGAGCTAGAGGCCAAGGCTCGGGAGCAGCAGCGGGGTGGAAGGGTAGGACAAGGCAACACAAAAACCTCGCCTAGGTGCTGACATCAAGGCCACTGACCCAACTTGGACCCTCTCCCATGCAGAAGGGAGGAAGAGCAAGCGGAGGGTTCGAACCACCTTCACCACCGAGCAGCTGCATGAGTTGGAGAAGATCTTCCACTTTACTCACTACCCAGACGTTCACATCCGCAGCCAGCTGGCAGCCAGGATCAACCTTCCAGAAGCTCGGGTGCAGGTACAGCCATCCCTTCCTCAGCCCCCAGCCTCCATGCCCTTGGGACCATGTGTGAGACACAATATATCCTGGGCCCTTTGGGGTTGCCCCATCTAAAAGTTTCTGTCGGCTTTATCCTATGAGTACAGTCATTTTGGCCAAATATTATTTTCTGTGAAATGAGGTCACTCTAGTTCCAAAATGGTTTCTCTCCTCTGGGAATGGAAAGGGAGTGAAGTGGCATCAGTGATCACCACGGATCTCTGCTCCATACCCTTCCTCCCCAATTGGCGACACTTCCAAAATGTCGTTCACCATGAAGCCTCATTCACAAAATAGGTCTTCGCCATCTAGACCGGGGGTCAACAACCTTTCTGCAAAGAGCCAGATGGTAATGACGTTAGGCTTTGCAGGGTATATTGTCAGTGTCAGAGCAACTGTTCAAACAGGCCAAGGTAGCACAAAAACAGGCTCAGAAAATACGTAAACACACTTTATTTATGAACATGAAATTTGAATATTGTGTAATTTGCCCGTGTCATAAAATATTACCCTTCTTTTTTTCTTCTAGCCATTTAAAAATGTGAAAACTATTCTTAGTTCATGAGCCATTCAAAAACAGGTGGAAGTACAGATTTAGCCTGTAGGCTGCAGTTTGTCAACCCCTGATCTAGAACACATGGGGATTCCTTTGGAGGCAGTGTAGCAAAGTGGAAAAAGTCTTGAATTCATGGTCTTAGTTGGAGACCTGGTTTAAGCACCAACAGGCTAATCTCTCATCTGTGATCTCTTCACCCCAGTTATGTATTGCTTCATAGCAGGGTTAGAAATACAGTAGCCCATTGTCACTCACCAGAGGTATTTCCTGCCCTCTTCACATGCACCCAGCTTTGCAAGTGCCACTCTAGCACATGACATTCCACCAGATCTGACTGTGGCACCACTAGCATTCTCTCTAAAATAGTTTTGTAAGTCGCTCTCCTTTTTTTCTTTCCACAAACGCGATGGACTCATTCTAATTCAAAATCAGGCCAACATTTGGTTATTTATTCTATCCTTTCCTTCTGGCTGAGGACCACTCCTGTCTTAGACTTCTCTCCTTTTTCTTCCCATCTAGAATCAGGCACTGGCTAAATGGGAAGCCCCTGTATCAGCCACGAAGCCCAGAATTCAACACCTGCCTGTGCAGAATTACCAAGGATAAATGGCCACAAGTCAGGGACCATCAGCACCTGCTCAGGAACGCAGGGAGCTGCCAATGTTCAGCCTGCCAAGGGGCCCCAGGGGTTGAAAACGGGTGGCCCACTGGTGACCCACACATGATTTCCATTTGGTCTGCACAGTAGTTTAAAACTCAGAAGCTTTCACATAAAAATCAAGATTCCACTTTGGAGACTGCATGAACCTGCAACACCAGACTCACATTTCCACGTGGTGACTGTTGACAGGAGCTGAGAAGCTGCCCCATTTTGGCTCTATTCACCACAGACCCCAACACTCCCAATTGTGCAGCACCAGCTGCTTCATTCATGCATGGCCCCCTGGCCCTGTAGGCATTGAAGGTGGAAACCCTGGTTCCCTCTCAGAAAGCTGACTTCCAGATCCAAAGACATCCTGGATGCCACAGAGCTTTACAAACTGTAAAGTGAAGTCCCTTGGAAGGCATAGTTATTATGAATTTGGGGGAGGTGGTATTAGATGGAGGAAAACTCTTGCTTATCCCCTTCCTGTCTCCCTAATTACAGATCTGGTTCCAGAATCAGCGAGCCAAGTGGCGGAAGCAGGAGAAGATTGGCAGCCTGGGGGCTCCACAGCAGCTGAGTGAAGCCAGCGTGGCCCTGCCCACAAATCTGGATGTGGCTGTAAGTGGCTGAGGACTCAAGGTAGGGTGGAGGGAGCCATTGTCTGGGAATATCCCAGTCAGACCCAGATGTGAAGAAGCACCTCGGGGGCTCTGTCTACAGGAAAAGGTGCAAGGAAAAATCTTTTAGAAACAGCATGGGTCAAGGAGAAATCTGGAAGACTGTGAGGCCTGTGACAAGTGGTTGCCTCTCTGTCCTCATGTCCTCCTCCCTTAGTGATCATCATGGTGCCTGTCCTTCCTGTGCAAAAATTCTCAGTTTACAAAACAGGATCACAGAGTGAAGTGCAGTACACAGACGCTGGAGTCAGAGTGCCTGAGTTCGAATCCCAGCTCTGAATTGCCTGAGGTGTGGCTTGGAAGAGTCACCTAATCCCTCAGAGAGTGTAATCAAGTTTTTTGATGAGGATGAAATAACCGAGACATAGAGGATGCTTAGCACCTAGGAAGTGCTCCCTAAGTATTTAGGGAGCCATCCATGGAGACAGCACATATTTTCGAGTCGGCACCAGGTGCTAAACACTGGGGATAGAGCAATAAACAAAATAGACACTACTTCTCTGCCCTAGAGTTAAAGGTTTTTACATACCCACGGCAATGCCTGGGATTTTTCATTTATTCAGTCTTTGCAAATGCGGAAGCTGGGCCCTGAGAGGCAAAGTGACTTTTCCACGTCAAACAATTGTAAGTACCAGGATTCAAGCCAGGTTTTAAATCCTCAGACCATGCACTTCTCCCCACCTACAGTAACCAACCGCCCAGGTTTGCATGGGTCCACACAGGACTTTCAGAGCTAAACCCAGAAGGTCCTAAGCAAACCAGAACAAGTGGATCACATTACCCACCCTTAGCTGCACAGGCCAGGGAGGAAAAGGCTGAGAAGCTGCAGAGACAGCTCAGGACTCACTTCTCTCTCCTGACCTCTCCTTGTGACAGGGGCCCATGTGGACATCCACTGCTCTGCACAGGCTGGCTCCTCCCACAAGCTGTTGTCCATCGGCTCAAGATCAGCTGGCCTCTGCCTGGTTTCCTGCCTGGATCACCCTCCTCCCAGGGCACCCATGGGACACACAGCCTGTCCCAAGTCCTCCCATCCATCAAACTTGCATCCCTGTGTTATGCATCCTTCCACCTCCACACCCTAAATGGGGCAGCATCTGTGCTACTTCAACATAGAGATTGGACATCCTCTCCCAAATGAGCCATTTTCCTATCTAGGTGAAGGCAGGTAGCAGATGTGCCCTGGGCCTCTGGGGGAATCGATCTCACAATCCAAAAATGGTCCACAGCCCAGGAAGCTACCCTGAACATGCCAGTTGGAAAGCTGCACCAGACTCGAAAGCAAAGTAAACAATAAAGGACAGCTCTCGTCTCTCCTGGCTAAAGCTGCTCTCCTGGTTCAGAAGACAGGCTGGATGAGATCTTAGGCTGAGCTCCGAAATAGGGAGATAATCCTCCAGCACCTGTGCTTCCTCTAACTTGCTGTGTGACCTCCAGCCGGTCACTCACCCTTTCTGGACCTCATCTGTAAGAGGAGCCAGCTGGATGAGATGATTTCTGAAGACCCTTCCATGGTGGGCACCGAGGCACGGAGGAGGCCAAGGAGAGGTTGTTTGTTCATGCATGCGTTCATCCATGACACAGGAGTACCTACCGAGGACTCCATAAACAGAACAGGATGTAGAGATAAACAATTCGGGTTCTGTCCACGGTTGTCAAAGGGTGGTTCTGGCCCACTTCTGAAAGCAGAATACTTGCTCAACAACCTTGTTGTTGTCCCAAATCTAACACATTCTTTATGACTGTGAGCATCTCAGAGTGAGAGAAAAATGCAGAAAGTTTTTAAAATTCTGAACAGGATTTAGTGTCTTTCGTTATCTCGTTGGATGGGGAAGGGATGTTGTCATTTCTGGCACAGATGAAAAGTAGAACGGTAAGCTCTTTTCATTCAGTTTATCTTTCTAGGATATATGAAAAGGGACCAGCTGGAAGACCAGCCTCACTCTGTCCTCGAAAGTCTAAGCTTTCATTCAACTCCCTATTTCCATGCAAAGACGCTGGGCAAACCACATGTTCTGTCTGAGCCTCAGTTTTCCTATCTGTAAAATGAAGGTAGCCTGGCCTGCCTCAAAGAGCATTCAGGAGGCTCCGAGAGGACATGAGTGTACTTTGCAAAGTGAGGGCAAGACCCAGTGTGGAGTGACATCGTTATTCCAAGATTCCACTGCAAAAGTGGCTGCTTTGGATCCCAGCCCAGGATGAGTAGTTCTTGCTCTCAGGGAGGTCATCCGCTGAGTGTCCCTTCTGCACAGGTGTCTCTGATTCTTGTCCTTGCAGGTGAAAGACAGGGCCCTGCTCCCCTAAGCTGGCAAGCCTGGAATGACCTCTTGGACAAGCCTAAAGTAAATTCCAGGAATCTTCCCCAAATCCCAGATCCTCTGCAATCTACCTGCACCCCTGACCCACCCAGGAGTTGGACCGGGAGTTGGGAAGCCTAGGTCTTAGTCCTACACTCCTTCTAATTTGCTGTGTAACCTTACCATTAATCTCTCTGGACCTCAGTTTTCTCATCTGTTTTGGAGCTAGCAAGGCTAGCTCTGCCTTCAGGCATGCAATATGCCAGAACTACAGACAACAGCCCACAGGATGCAAAAGTGCTTTGCCATCTTAAAAGTGCCAGATCACCCAGAGCCTATGAATGTGGATATCAACACCAGGTCTCTAGCACCCTTGGATGAAAGGAGGCGGCTAGAGGCTGAGGGAGGAAAGATCAGTTAACAAACAAAGGCAGTAGCTCATCACTTGGGTAGCAGGTACCCATTTTACAACCCTAAACCTAAATGTGCAAAATAAAATTTCTATCATTTTGCTATAACTGGATTTACTTTCTATGTTGTTTTGCAGGAAATGTATTCTGGTAACTTCTAGCCTCTGTTCCCCTTCTTCCCACAGGGGTCTTTGCTAGGCTGAGGGGGAGGGTTGGAGAAGTGTTTATGCAAATGCCACCTCCAGCCTCCCAGAGGGTATGTTTGCTTCTCAGCTTTCTCAGCCTCCTGCTAGTGTCTTATCTAGCCTGGCCTTGGGCATGAACCCTCTGCCCTAGGGACTCATCACCCCATTCAACTGCCTTTTGGGGGTTCACTCCACATCCTCTGCTGTAGCCTCTCACCATAGTTGTGAACTCGCTGGCTTCCTCTCTCTTTCATGAGCAATAGGAAAAGCTGACAACTCTCCCACACACTTCTAGGGTCATGGGAGGCCTGGGCCAGGCAGCAGGTCTCACTCATTCTAGACCTCCCACAGCCATTTCTCATGCCCTGGTGATAGGCAGGTCATGGATGAGATTTGCAGATCTCCAAACTTGTAAGAAGAGTGGAAAAGATGCAGGTCCTCTCTGCTCTGGGGTCCCACTCCCCCTTCTCAGCAACATACTCTTCTTCCCCAGGCTCCTTTTGAAACAGGATTTTCCCAGCCATAGAGATTCAGATGACCAGATGTCTCAGCTTCACTATTGAGGTAAACATTGATTTTGTGAGGCCATTTCTTTCCCCCTAGGAATTTTCTCCCCAATAACTATTTTTATTCCCTTTACCTTATGTGTGTGGGATAAAGGAATCACTTTAGAACTCTTGCCAGCTGTGTGACCTTGGGCAAGTGGCATGTCCCCTCTCTGTACCTGTTCCCTGGATAACAACAATTTCTTGCCTCTTAGTGTTTCTGTGACAATTAAATGAGTTAATACATTTTGGCACATGGTGGGCACTCAAGCCATATTAAGAAAAGCTCATTTTCCCAAATACACCTTCTACCTCTTTCTACTTCTGAGCTTGAACATCCATTCTGATCTCAGGCTCTATTCCAGGAGTTCTTAAACCAGTCTCCAGGAAGTCAAGGAGCTCCCAAGAGGCTATGCAAAATTGTGTGTATCTGTGTGTTTATTTTTTCTAAGGAAAGGGTTCATTGCTTTCATCAGTTTTTCAAAGAGCTCTGGGGCTTAAAAACAATAATAATAAAGAATCCCTGTCAGACATATCTGAGTCAGATCTTGACAGCTTCATATTCTAGCTATGAGGACTACAGACTTGAGAGAAGATCAAGGATAACTATTTTGGAAAGGTAAAATAAAAAAATATTGCTATGGTTTGAACGTGCCCCCCAAAAAGTGTGTGTCAGAAACTTAATCACCATTGTAACAGTGTTAAGAGACAGAACTTTTAAGAGGTGATTAGGCCATGAGGCTCTGTCCTTGTGAATGGATTAATGTTGTTATTACCAGAATGTGTTCTTCATAAAAGGATAAGTTCAGTCTCTCTCTCTCTCTCTCTCTCTCTCCACCCCCCAACCCCTGGCACCTTCTCTCCCCTTCTCTCCTCCACTCCCCCACCTTTTTCCTTCCACCATGGGATGACATGCCTTGACAGCAAGAAGGCCCTCACCAGACACCAGTCCATTGTTCTTGGACTTCCCAGCCTTCAGAACCATGAGCCAATAAATTTCTGTTCATATATTAATTACCCAGGCTGTGGTATGCTATAATAGCAGCACAAAATGAACTAAGGCCAATAGAAAATGAACAAATACCCAAGTTTTATTCAGCTTACTAATTAATGAGAGAACTATTAAGATATCATAACCAGCTCAACATATTGGATCCTGTGGGCTGTTGTCTATAGTTCTGGCATATTGCATGCCAGAACTAGCCTTGCTAGCTCCAAAACAGATGAGAAAACTGAGGTCCAGAGAGATTAATGGTAAGGTTACACAGCAAATTAGAAGGAATGTAGGACTAAGACCTAGGCTTCCCAACTCCCGGTCCAACTCCTGGGTGGGTCAGGGGTGCAGGTGAACACACACACATATTCAAAGACCAGACAAGCATATAGGCAATCAGGAATGCTGAAATGAATTACAAATAAAGAAAAACAAGAGTCAATAGCCATAGGGAAATAATCAATTTCATCTCCACTAAACATGACTTATTTGCATCTCTCATGACAAGAATCCTTTGCATTTCTAACCATTTTCTACTCATTTAAGTTGAAAAGTAGCTCAAAGATAATAAAGATGCAGATATTCTGAAAGAGTGTGCTAGACAATATACCCTGTAATCTTCATAGGCCCTTTTCAAAATCTTTCAAAAATTTTTACCCTCATAAAGTTACTTCGTCTATCTGAATCTCACTTTCCTCATCCATTAAATGGGGATGATAAGACCTGCCTCAGAAGACTGCTGTGAAGATTATATTAGATGATGTGTGTATAGTTTTGTGCTTATAAAACACTTCAGGAGTGTAGGAAATCTTTATTACTTTTCAAGCTCCTCTAGAACTCAAGTTTAAAAGCATATCTGTCAAGTGTTTTGAACTATAGTAACAGATTAGGCCATGAGGCTCTGTCCTTGTGAATGGATCAATTTCTTGAAAGGCTAACCAGGAGGCCGAGGCGGGTGGATCATGAGGTCAGGAGATTGAGATCATCCTGGCTAACATGGTGAAACCCCGTCTCTACTAAAAATATAAGAAGTTAGCCGGACGTGGTGGTGGGCGCCTGCAGTCTCAGCTACTCTGGAGGCTGAGGCAGAAGAATGGCATGAACCCAGAAGGCGGAGCTTGCGGTGAGCTGAGATCGTGCCACTGAAACTCCAGCCTGGGCGACAGAGCAAAAAGAAAAGAAAAAAAAAGAAGGCTAACCAAACAATAGAAAATGGGCAAAAATCAAAAATAAGAAATTCACAGGAAAAACATACAAATAGGTACTAAACATATGAAAATATTCTCAACCTCATTCATAATTAAAAATGTAAGTAAGTTAGTAATGAAATATATTTTTAACCCTTCAGATTGGTAAATATTTAAAATGTTGGTGAGGAATTGATGAAACAGGCACTCTCATATATAAGAAAGTGTGAATTAGTAAATCATTTTTGAAGACAATATGGTATCAACTATTAATATATTCTAAATGCAAATCTCTTGACCTGGTAATTGGATTTGCAAGAATTTATCCAGTAAATATACATGTATATAAATACTGTATATAAGAATGTTCACCAAGGCTTTATAATAGCAAAAACTAGAAACCATCTAAATAGGATGCTGGTTGAGTTTATTGTAATATATTCATCTGGCTGTTAAAAATAATAGATTGTAATATACCTTATGAGAAATTATCATCAGATATATCATTAAATAGAAATATCAAGTTGCAGAACAGTATTATGATCTCACTTAAGAAAAACATGATATCTTTATAAAAACAAGCTTTTGTATAAATGTATGAGATAAAAGTGCCATTTTGTTACATGCATAGATTGTATAGTGATCATCAAAGCTTTTAGGGTATCCATCCTTCAAATAATGTCCATTGTACCCATTAAGTAATTTCTCATCATCTATCCCCCGCTCACCCCCTCATCCTTTCAATTGTCTATCATTCCATTTGCTATGTCTATGTGTACATATCTTTTAGCTCCCACTTACGAGTGATAAATGCAATATTTGTCTAACTGTGCCTGATTTACTCCACTTAGATAATGAGCTCCAGTTCCATCCATGTTGCTGCAAAAGACGTAATTTCATTCTTTTTTATGCCTGAATAGTATTCCATTGTGTTTGAACATTACATTTTCTTTGTCCAGTCCTCCATTGACAGACACTTAGGTTAATTCCATATTTTTGCTATAGTGAATAGTGCTACAAGAAATGTATGAGTGCAGGTATCTTTTTGATATATTGATTTATTTTCCCTTGGGTAGATACCAAGTAGTGGGACTGCAGGATTAAATGGTAGCTCTATGTTGAGTTCTTTGAGAAGTCTCCATGCTGTGCTTCATGCTTGTACTAATCTACATCCTTTGTATGCCAACGGTTTTTGCATAAGTCAGTTTCTGCTCCATATCAAACTACCCCAAAATTTAGTGACCTGAAACAGCAGTCACTTCTGTAGTTCATAGTTCTGTGGCTTGACTAGGTTCTTCATCTGGTGTGGGCTGACTCAACTAATCTCAGCTGGTCAGTCTATGGCCACTGGGTGATCTCGAATGGCCTCACTCACAGGTCTGGGTTGGCAGGCTGTTAGCTGAGGTGAGAGTGAGTGGGCCACATGGCTCTCATCAGCTTCTTCATTTAGGGGTCACTGGATTCCAACAGCACAAAAGCAGAAGCTAGGGAAGGCTCCTGAAGCTTAAGGCTCAGAATTCATACATCACTCCTGTTTCATTCTATCGGTTAAAGCAAGTCACAAAACCAGCCCAGAGTGAAGGCATGGGAAAGTAGATTCCTCCTCTTTGTGGGAAGTGCTGCCAAGTGCCATTCTGTATTAGCATGTTTTCACACTGCTATAAAGAACTACCCCAAACTGGGTAATTTATAAAGGAAACAAGTTTAATTGATTTACAGCTCAACATGGCTGGGGAGGCCTCAGGAAATGTACAATTATGGCAGAAGGGGAAGGAGAAGCAAGGCACCTCCTTCACATGGCAGCAGGAAGGAGAAGTGCTGAGTGAAGGGGAAGAGCCGCTTATAAAACCATGAGATCTCATGAGAATTCTCTCACTATCATGAGAACAGCATGGGGGAAACGACCCACGATCCAATTACCTCCACCTGTTCTCTCCTTTGACACGTGGGGATTATGGGGATTATAATTCAAGATGAGATTTGGGTGGGGACACAAAGCCTTACCATATCACATGCCTTGTTTACCACCCACCATGACTCCCAAGGCCCATCTCATCCAGACCTCTTCCCTGAACTCTCCTGACAGCTACACTTGTATGTCTGTCAAATAGGCATTCAAGCTTAACACGTCTATGTACAAACTATGAACTACCCTCCCCAAACCTGCTTCTTCCTCGGCCTTCCCCCTCCCAGCAGA